TGCTCAGGAATTCCACCAAAGGCCCCTGAGCAGCCCGATTAAAACTGGTCGTGTGGTGGTGGTGGTTGTTTTTTTTAATTATTCAACTGTCATATATGAGACCGTATGACTATAACACAAAGGGGAGTTCTTTTTTCATTTAACTTCACAATATGCACAGCTAGTCCAGGCTAGATCTTACAACCTGAGCACAAATGTTGAACTTTTTCTATGCTGTTTAGGTTTACGGTATGCAGAAATCCTGTAACTGATTCTATGCCTTCATAGCTGCCACAAACTCCAGCCCTCAAACTCAGTTGTATGAGAAATGGAGTTTAGCTTTTTGGGGGTTCCCTCATGAATTATGCACAGTTTTGGGAGAGCTTTTTTTGGGGGGGAGGGGACATCAGGCGCTCAGGCATTGATCCCCACAGGGCACAGTGGCTCTCTTGACTGTTTCCATTCCCAACTTGGTGACGTGGGACATAGTCCCTGATGCCGCGCCCTCTCGGAGGACCAGTGTGCTCCTGCTCTCACTCTCACAGCCTCTCTGCTCTTTCCTTTTTACCTTCCACTGGCCTGGGGGGAAATACTGATGTACAATTATAAAAATAGTTTGAAAGCAGACATGATATAGTAATGCATGGGTTTTTTAAAATATCGAATACTGAGATCTAGTGATGGATCTAATAACTTCATACTTTTGAAGTAGTGATAAAATGTAAACAATATTTCAACATATTGCAACAACCATAATAGGATATGAAGATAGCTGATATCTGCTGATGAAAAAGGCATGGGCACTATTAATGCAACAGTGTTGTTTTTTTTGCCTACTTTCATAATTGAATGCTACCTTTCGGATACAGGTTAATGAAAAATAAAGATGTAATTTTTTTTTCCACTCAAGTTCAAGGGCCTAGGTCATAAGAAACCCTGGTCAGAGGGAATTCATCTCTCTCCATCCCTATTTCTTCAACAGGAACCACAAATTCTCTCTGAGACTGGTAGCACAAGACCTATTATTATTTGCTTAAATGAAGGGGGAGAGAGTGTGTACATAGGTTAATATCTAAATAATCTTTTTAACCTTTAGTAGGGTTTATTTACACCTAGTTTACACAAAAATTAACATGCCTGATCATCTTTCTTTTTTTTTTTAATCACAGAAAAATAGAAGCAGCACATTAGAAAAGGACAGGGCAGTTCTGCTCTTATCTTAATTAATCTTTCATATTCTTTGGATTTAATCTGTCATTTAAAAAATTTTCTTGCCCTAGCCGATTTGGTGCAGTGGTTAAGAGCATTGGCCCGCAAACTGAAGGGTCCCAGGTTCGATTCTGGCCAACGGCATGCACCTCGGTTGCAGGTTTGGGGGTGCATGTGGGAGGCAACCAATCAATGTGTCTGTCTCACATCAATCTCTCTCTCTCTCTCTCTCTCTTTCTCTCCCCTTTCCACTTTCTCTGAAAAGCAATGGAAAAAATACCCTCCAGTGAGAATTTAAAAAAATATTTTTTCTTGACATGGCTGCTTTGAACACCAAATCTTAGCCTTTCTTCCTTTCTGATATATGCATTTAAAACTAAACTATAAACTTTCCTTTAGCATGGTTACATCCCACAAACAACAGATCAAAACTGCAGGTCATACAGCCGAAGCATTCGAAGAGGAGAGAACTTTGACCTCCAGCTGCACCCCGAAACAAAGTCTTGCTGCCCCCACCCCCTAGGAAACAAAGGACCAGCACATAATCGGAACTTGAACATCTGAATTCTTTCAGATGTCATGGGTCTGCGTTGTCCAGGAAGATCCGGTGTTGATGCCTTTTTACCATAAATGGCCAAGTTCCAAGTTCCTCCAAATAAAACTTGCCTCACCAGCACCTCGCATACCTGTGTCCCCTAGCCCCTTAAAATCCCTTATCCTAGTCCAGTGAGCAAGATGAATTTGAGGCACCATTAGGTCTCCCATCTTCTCAGTGGATTCCTTCTTGATCAATAAACCTTTCCTTACTCCAAACTCTGACGTTTTGAGTTTTGGCCTTTCGAAGTATTGGGCACACAAACAAGGCTGTGGTCTGCATGTGCAGGCAGTTGGGAATAGAAAATGGATATAAAGTGGAGAGGAAAAAATAAGCTGGTACTTCCAGGCATGATCTGGAGCCCATGAGGGTCCACTGAAGCCTGTGTCAGTTCTCGTTGCCTCTGGTGTTGATGGTGTGGGTGTCATGCAGAAGCCAGGCTCTTTGCACAGAGCTAAGCACCCATCCTCGGCCCAGAAGTCAGAGAAGCTGCAGGAAGGTGTAACAGTTGCGTGCATGGCTGCTGCTCATGCCAGTGAGCTGAGGCAGCAGATAATCCGCAACATAGGCCAGCTACAGAGTAGCTGCTGCTTCATTTCCACCCTCCAAAGCTTCCACAAGAAACTCTTTTGTGGCTCATGCTAACTGGAAACATACTGAAAAGGGAACTCTGGGAAATGCAATTTAGTCTAACCAAGCTGAAACCTTTCAAAGGCATCATACTCACTCTATATCTCCATGGTATGAACACCTGTCCTAAAGTCAGACCTCTCAGGTTTACATCCCAGTTCCTTTACTTAAAGCTGTGTGTCCACCTGAAACTATTCCAAAATAATATTGGATGTAAACTGTAAAACAAACCAACAAACAAACACTATTTGAACTTTTTTCAAAAAAAGCTGTGTGTCCAAGAGTAAGTTACTTAGTCTTCCTGTGCCTCAGTTTCCTTGTCTATAAAATGAAGCTATAATAGTGGTACTTACCTTATAAGATTTGTATGAGATTTAAATGAGATAACATATGCTTGCTGTTGATATATTATCAATAAGACTTGGCCTATTGGAAAAGTACAATAAATATCAGTTATCAGTTGTATGATCTTGGGAAAATCATTTCATCTTTCTGATTTTCAGGGCTTGCTTTTTTTAATCTGTAAAATGGGGATAAATTCCTTGGCTTATTTCAAAGGCATCTACTGAAATAACCCATTTAAGTCTTATTCAAATGCGAACAGAGTTGATGGTCATCATAAGCACCCCTCTTAGCTCCTTCCAGCCTCGGGACTGAAATCTACCCCAGGGACCAATCTAAAGTAAGCTCACCAGTGACTACTCAGTAAGAGTGGTTCTCCAAATGTACCATATTAGTGTAAGATATGAATAATAGGAAAAACTGGGTGTGGTGTATAGAATTCTCTGTGCTATCTTTGAAATGTTTCTGTAAATTTAAAACTTTTAAAAATAAAACATTTGTGTTTTAAAAACTTAATCTTAAAAATAAATTAACCTCTTGGTCTGATATCTCATCAAGGCAGCAGGGGTACCCACTGCTCTTCCAGTCTCGCCATGCCTCCCAAGGACAAGAAGAAGAAAGGTGCCCTAACGTCAGCCAAGAAAGACAAAGACCCAGTGAACAAATACGGGAACAAGGCCAACAAGAAGTCATCCAAAGGCAAAGTCAGGACAAGCTCAATAACCTAGTCTTGTTTGACAGAGCAACATGACAAACTCCGTAAGGAAGTTCCCAACAATAAGCTTATACCCTTGGCTGTTGGCTCTGAGAGACTGAAGATCCGAGGCTCCTTGGCCAGGGCAGCCCTACAGGAGCTCCTTAGTAAAGGGCTTATTAAACTGGTTGCAAAGCACAGAGCTCAGGTAATTTACACCAGAAACACCAAGGGTGGGGATGCCCCAGCTGCTGGGGAAGACGCATAAACAACAGGTGCCACCAGCTGTACATTTTGAAAAATAAAATTTTGTTAAAAAAAATAATAAATTAAGATAAGATGTAGAAAAAGAAAGTGTTCTCAAACTTTGACAGGCATCAGAATCCCTTGGAGGGCTTGTTAGAATATACCTTGCTGGGTCCAAGAGTCGTGATCTATCAGGTCTCAGAAGGGGCCGGAGAAGTTACACTTCTAACGAGCAATGCTGAGACTGCTGATGTGAGAATCACGCTTTGAGAACCACTGACATTTAAACTATGTGAGTTTTCCTGTATTTCTCATGAACAGAGGCTCCCATTCATCATGACCCATCATTTCTTGGCTCATTCTGTCCATGACATCACCCAACATTTGCTTACCAGGCAGGAAGGAGACAATTGATGACCAACTCAGTCGCTGAGCAGAACAGAGTTCAACAGGGCCTGGAAAAAAATCTCTTTTACCTCCCTCCCCTCTTTCTCCAACCTCTTCAGAGCTCTAGGCCATGAATCAAGCCTTGCTTTAAAAAAATACACACACATATATATTTAAATATATAAATTTCATTACAAAGAAAATTATGCTCATGGAGGACAATTAAGGAAAAGTAAAAAGAAGAAAAAATTACCCACAGCTTTCTCATCCAAAGGCAACCACCTAATGTTTTTGTACGTTTATTTCCAAAATTGTATTTCAACTATAAATTTTTTTAAGATTTTCTTTTGAATATTGTTGTAATAAAAAAGGACAGACATTTTTATATCCTGTTTTTTCACTCAACACTATGTTATAAACACTTTTATGTTGTTGTATAGTATTTGTAAACATTAGATGATCGTATAATAGTGCAACTATTCCCCTTTTGTTGGATGCTCTAGTTTTCCCAGTGTTTTTACTCCTGTGAAAGACGGTTTGTCCCTGGCCGGGTAGCTCAGTTTGTTGGAGCACCGTCCCTGATATGCGAAGGTCAGGGCACACACAACAATCTATTAAGGAATGAGTGCATCAATAGGTGGAAAAACAAATTGATGTTTCTCTCTCAAGCAATCAATAAAAATGTTTTTAATAAAAAATAAATGAAAGAAGTTTCAAATTTCACAATTGCATGAATCCAGGTGTGGGGAAAAAATGACTTCCTTTATTTTTCTAGAACCGAATAAATTTCTTTCTAAGCCCCAGATTCCTAGAAGCAAAAAAACCATAATCAAAGTACTTCTAGGGAAACTCAGTTATAATCAGAATCTTTCTGCTTCTCCCAGCTCTTCGCTTCTCTGTTGCTGAGGGAGTAAATGGAGAGGGGACAACCACTGCTTGAGCTTTCCTTGCTTTGTCTCCTGGTAGCCTCCTGTTCCAGAATAACAGGTGAGTCATCCCTGTCTGGCTCCTAGAAAGGCCGAAGGGGTGGTGTGTGAGTGGGAGTTGGGAAGGGTCCCTCCTCTGTGCTGACACTCGGTTGATAGGTAGCCACTCCTCTTGTGTCCATATGGCATCCTCCTAACTCAGCCAGGAGATTCACCTGCCTCGCCTCCCCACCCCCAAGAGCTGGGAGAATCTGTTTCCGATCTCAAGCCTAGACATGCCAAGCTGCCATTCCTGCTACACAGAATCTGCGCCACAAAGGTGGGAGATTGGCCTGTGAGGCTTGCTGCCTGCTTAGGCCCTGCCTAGGAATCAAGGCCTTTTCGATCCCCAGTCACAGGCGGTTTATTGAACTTCAGATAGGGCCGGGTGCACAGTTCCTCACACACTCCACCTGCCTTCCCTCCCTAATAAGTCTTATCTTTCCTAGAGAGGAGGTGGGGAAAATTGTGTTTGGTTTTTGTTTTGACATGTCTCTTCCTATATCATTCGGTCTTACACTTGAATACATAGTTTGTGAGTTTAAAAGCTGCGATTTTGGTTGACTTTCTTCTCACTCTCTATACTAGCAACTTCTCTAGGTGGCCTCTAATCTCATAATCCAAAAGGAGGGATAGTGGTCTTGGATTTAAAGGCATTTCGAGAAGGGGGAAAGAACACACCGGTTATCATCTCATGATCCCGCCTCCTAACTAATGCTGCAGAAATCCTTGGGCATATGTCACCGGCGACCTTTGACAGACAGGGTAGGGCTATCAACTCTGTATGAGCCAAGGCCTGATGTCATTAAGGAGGGTAAAGGGAGGTTCTTGAGGCTAGAGAGAGTGGTATACGCAGGTGGTCCACCTCATGTACAGCAGTGACAACTGTCCAAGGAACTGGGAGTAATTGCCCTGACACAATTCGGGGTGCCCTTTCCAATCCACAGGGGCAGTGATTGTCCAAAGCAGTTGGCTTACTCAGATACAGCCCCTCCCACCCCCTATCTATCCACCTACCTACCTGTCTATCCCCTTTATGTGTGTGTAATTTAGATATTTTCTTTAAACACCTTCCCAGAAGTGGAATTACTGGGTCAAAGAGTAAAATTTGTATAATTTTGATGTTACAGAAGAGATGTACAGCCATTGTCTTAATACAGAAAGTGCCAAAGCCATTAACTCAGGGTGATCAAGCATCAGACACTGGCGGTAGAGAATAAATTGCTACAACCTTTCTGCAGGGAAATTTGTCAATGTGTCAATATGTATAATACACTTTGACCTAGGAGCTCCACTTTTGGGAATTTATCTGAAGGAAATAATTGCACACATGAGCAAGGGTATATGTGCTGAGAGGTTCAAAGAACAGTGCTTAGAATGGTTAAAAATAGACATGATTTAAATACCTAGTGATAAAAGATTGTTAAATTCAAAAATAGTATATCCACACGATCAAATATCACGCAGTCATTAAAAACGATGACAAGAATCAATATTGACCGAGACGAAAAAATATTCCGTGAAAAGAGCAGATTAGGAAAAAAGCACGTAGTACAGTATTATCCCTTTAAAAATTATACTGTGTACATATGCATAAAAGGCCAGTAGAAAACATACCAACAATAGCAGTTATCACTAGGTAGTGGAATTATGGCTGCTTTCTCTTTTCTTAGTTATCTTTTTCCATATTTTTTAACCTTATGTCACTTTTTATTTTTATTTTTATTTATTTTTATTTTTTTAAATATATCTTTATTGATTTCAGAGAGAGGAAAGAAGGGGGAGAGAGAGAGAGAGAGAAACATCAATGATGAGAGAGTCACTGATCGAGCCCTCAACCCGGGCATGTGCCCTGACCAGGAATCGAACCCCGATCGCCTGGATCCTAGGTCGACGCTCAACTGCTGAGCCACGTCCGGCTGGGCTTATGTCACTTTTTAAATCGGTGGGGGGGAAACACTGAAAGGTAGCACATGTAATTAGGTTACTTGGAATGTTATTTTATGCATTTTAATCTGTTACTCACATGAAGATCTAGAGGCACTGAAATAGATTTCTTGGACTCCATGCCTCTTTCTACTTCACTCAGCTCGAGCCTGGCTCTTCCCCGTGGATAACCCCAGAATTCCCCACACTCATTCCCCCGCCCCTCGTTGCCTGCGCTTCCTCCCGCAAGGCCCTGTTCCATTCCCACCAGGCTTCCCTAGTCTGCATTCTTTTCTAAAGTGAGCCTTGCCCCGTGACACCTTTCCAGGCAGATATTCTCAGCCTGGAAAATCTCCAAGGATCGTTTTTCTTCACTGACTTTCAGCCAGACTTGGAGGTCACAAGTCCCCTGCAGCATGGAGCCTGGTATGGATCAGGGCGTCAGCCAAAGTGGCCCTTCTGGGGCACTTAATAGATCAAGCAAAGTCCACTGCCAAGTAGTCACCTGGGCTGGGCCAGTAACATACCCTGATAAGCTGCTTGGAAAGTCTGGTCTTCAACCCTTGGACTCCAGCCATGGGAGGACTCAGCAGGACTCAAGGTCCAGCTCATTTAGCCGGTTTGAGCCTCAGATGTGCCAGCTCCTGCCCTTAAACCTGGGCATTGGAAGTGAGGGAGACGCAAAGGGCAGGGAAGTGTCCAAAGAATGCAGGAGGCAGACAAACCTCTGAGGGGCAGCCCCTTCACCCACTGAGAGCATTCACTTTCCCCTCTGATTTATTTCCCCAGCAAAACATTATGGCTCAAGGCCTCATATAGAACCTCAGAGCTGCGAAGGCCATCAGACATCATCTGCTCCAAGCCTCTCCCTTTACAGCACAGAGAAACCAAGTGACTGCCCACTGATGCAGAGCTCATGATGTAGCAAGTACCAGAGCCCAAGTTTCCTGACCCCTAGCTCACAGCTCTTTAATATAATAATGCGTGTCTTCTTTACAAATGGGATATTTCTAAAGCAAACCGTCTTATGTCTTGTGTCATCTCACCCTCAAATCAACACTGACCCAGATGTATGACTGTAAACCATCAAAACTAGGAAATAAATGGGCCGAACCCATTTATCTTACAAATGAGAAACCGAGGCCCAGAGAGGTTGTCCAGGGTCACTTGGCTGTCCGGGTTCAGATCCAGAACCTCTGGTCTCATTCACAGCTTCTCTCATTATAGGTTGCCCAGGCCCTCAGCCAAACAAGACTGGACACCATGGAAAGCAGGTTTGTGTCTCTAGGCACACACAGTCACCAGGAACGTCCCCTCTTCCCTCCTTTCTTAAGTTGAGTGTTCTTGTGTTTAATCCCTGGAGAGATGAGTGACCCAGCATCTGTGGATGTTGACGCTAAGGAATAGAGCTCCCAACCTAAAAGGACAGATTGAGAGACAGTGAGAGGTAGAGCTGGGGTGTGTGTGTGTGTGTGTGTGTGTGTGTGTGCGCACACACTCTGTATTTGGGAAAAGTTTAGCTGACTGTGAAGATGTTTTGGGGACCATATTTTCCAAATAAAATATGGAGACTGTGATCTTGTGCTTCATTTCATTAAAGGGCAGAATGTTTCAAGTCAGGATTGTCTTTTTTGTAGACAGTTTAAAATTCTGGAAGGTACCTACGAATGATTTGTTTATCTGCATCACGCAGGCCAGGCAATTGCCAAATCTTAGAGCAGAAAGTGACAGTGAATCATAGTATTCTGCCCCCAGCTTCTAGGCTGGTAAATGTCTCAACGGCCCAAGATAAATGGCTGCCCCTTCTCTTCCTGATGTCTCCAGGGGAATGATAGCCATTCTTTCACATATTCTCTGAGGGATGACACACTGAGCAAGAATAGGAGATGGAGTATACTAGTGGCCCAGGGCTGGGACATGTGCCCCATCCTGGGACTGGGGTTATGGGGTCAGCCTCATCTAATGACGTGTGAAGGGTGGTTCTCCGAAGGAAAATCAGGGAGCTGCTATCAGAAAAAGGGGACCTGGTTAGCAGGGAGGAAAAATTAGGTCTGCGAGTAGCAGAGACGGTGATTTCCTAGTGGGGGCATACCAGAATGCTTGATGGACCCTCAGCATTGATTCCAGTGGTCTTCCTGTGCTGCACAGGCTGAAAAGATAAAGCCACATTTCCCTGGTTGCATGCAGCTAGGATTCTGGGTGCGAATTAGGTTCTGCTACTTAGATGCATTTCTGCAAGATTTGAAAAGTGGAAGTGAGGTAGAGGTCATGCCGTATTCTTGAGATGAGATTGTCAATGTCCCATCTCCAGGTTCGAGGACGTTGAGAGGAAATTCTGGAGGCAGCAGTGATGGAATTCCACATTCCAGTGGAATTGGGCGGTGGCAGCAGCCTCCTGGTTTCAGCTTTCTGGTACCTGGATTGTAGCTAGAAGAGCATGCCCTGGAACTCAACCTTCTTGAAGGTAATAAAGGGAATGGCTCCCCGGGAGTGTTTTGAGAGTCATTTGTGAAAGCAACACTTGAGACTGCTCCTCCTGCCCTTTCAGGGGTTTGGTCATTGCCTAATCTTTGTGTTGAATCCATTCTGGTTTTTTAAAAAAATACGTTTTATGTTTTTATTGATTCTAGGGAAAGAGGAAGGGAGAGGGAGAGAGAAACATCGATTGGCTGTCTCCTGCACACCCCCTACTGGGATCGAGCCCCAAACCCTGGCATGTGCCCTGACCAGGAATCAGTGACCTTTTGGTTCATGGGACAGTGCTCAACCAACCGAGCCGCTCCCACCAGGCCCATTCTGGTTTAAACCCTGGAAGTGATTTTGATCTCTCACCTGATGCCTGACTGGCACATCTGTGAGCTTGAAGAAGCACCTGGCCGGCTGGATTCCGATATGACCTCTCCCCTCCTTGACAATCACATGCTGAAAGGACGAATGGCATGGAAAGATGTTCGTGATATAAAAGGCAATTACAAAGTTGCGAATTGTCTGATTCTCCGCTCCCTTTCCTCAAGGTGTGTGAGTCCATAACCCAGTTATCCGCCTCTGGAGATCGCCAATATTTCCAGCCTCAGAGTCATGCTTCCCTAATTATTCAAATACAAGGATTCTAGCCTCTGTTCCACACACCCTGCTGCCCACCCCCAAACAAGCTCCTAAGAAGTTTCAAGGGGCCCATTGTTCCAGAGACTGCAACATTTTCAGTCTGCGCTGTGTTTTCATCATCATTTTTTGTTCCTTCCTGGGCCACCTCATTTCACCAAAAAAAAAAAATGCTGTACTACAGACTTAGTGTGCAGCAGACTTTATTGAAGATATGAAATACAGAATCACAACGCTTTTGGGTGGCAACTTAAAACTGAACATTTGATGTCAGTGCCCTAGATAGCTGCCTGCCATGCCCCCTCCTTAAGACATTGCTTGATGTCCCTGTGTTTGCCACCTTCCCCAGGGCTGCCCACTAGCCTACGCTGTGCCTTTGTGTGAATTAGAAAGAGATGCCTGCTCTGAGTGGGGCTGATGCAACGCTTGTCCCCAAAGACCATGTGAGCAACTGAAGAGCTTACGCTCCATCTTCGCTGGGCAGCTGCCACCCTGCCTGGCCAGTCATAGTGTATCAGGAATGATGTGACCAGGGTTGCCAGGCCTCGTGAAAGGAAAACAAAAACCCCCAGAAATCTAGATTTTAATTTTGATTTCCATTTCATTTGTTGGTAACTAACAGGCAAATCAAAGTATTTAAGCACGTATTTAATAAGTACTTATTAGAAGTATTTAATAACTACTTATACAGGTACTGTCCTAAGCACTTTATAAGTATCAATTATTTGGCCTGTGTAACAACCTGTATAGTAGTTATTACCATGCTCTCCACTTTACAGATGAGGAAACTGTGGCACAGAGATTAGTTGTCCAAAATAATAAGTTAATAAGTGGCAGAGCAGGATTTGAACGCGGGCATCTGGCTCTAGAGCCTACTCTCTTAATCATCCTGCTCTACTGCTATGAACTAAATTTGGCTCACACATTGCAAATTTTTGATCTGTGTTAGAGACCAGTGCAATCCAATAGAGCTTCCTGAGATGACAGAAATGTTCTGTTCTGAACTGTCCAATGAGGTAGTCGCTAGCCACATGTGTCTGTTGAGTACTTGAAATGTCACTAGTCCATCTGAGGAACTGAATTTTTAATTTTATGACATTTAAATAGCTTCATGAAACTAGTGCCTACTACATTGGGCAATGTGGCTATAGGCCCTTCTCTCTCTGTCAGTTTTTTCAATGCCTTCATTTTTTAAATTTCATTTTTCTTTTTTTTTTTTAAAGATGCTTTGTTTTAGAGAGGAAGGGAAAGGGAGAGAGAGAAAAAGAGAGAGAGAGAAACATCGATCAGCTGCCTCCTGCATACCCCACTGGGAGTCGAGACTGGCAACCTGGGCATGTGCTCTGACTGCAAATTTAACCGGCAGCCTTTTGGTGCATGGGATGTCACCCAACCAACTGAGCCACACCAGCCAGGGCAAATTTCATTTTTCAATGCTGTAATTCCTATCACTTCCAACTGGCAGAGGGTTTTATTGTAGTCTTTGTTTTTTAAAAAGCATTTTCTCCCCTGTCTTTTTAAACCATGTTCTGGGGGAGTACTTTTGATATTCACTGACTCATGGGGCCCAACAAGCTATTTTCCTCCACAGGAGAATCCTGGCTCTGATAGGAATCATGCTCCTCTCTCCCAGGGGCAGAAATGCAGCGGTCATGGGTTTTGTTTTCCAGATAGCATTTCCACCTCTTTGATGTATATTGATATGTATAAAAAAGATTGGAAAGATACATGCCAAAATGTTAATGGTTATGTTTGTGTAGAAGAACACATCACCATATTTTCTTTCTCATGCCTTTAAATTTTTTTCTACAGTGAACAAGTAGAAACCATATATAATTTTGAAATCATATAAAAATTGTTATAAAACAATTCTCTTGAATTCCCAGGAGGTCAGCAAAGGAAAGCCTCGGGAAGGGAACCTTGCAGAGGCCCAGAGAGCAACCTGTGCTGGTGGGGGGAGGGCATGAGAGAGGAGTGGAATGGAGGGATTTTCTGACAAGTTTGACTGTGCGGAAAATTGGATTGCAGAGTCCTGGGAGGGTGTGGGAAGCTCACAGATTCAAACAAAGCTGAGCTGTGACAAAAAGAGGGAATTGCCTCAAGGGGAATGTACTTGGGTCTGCTGTCATTGATACTTACATAGTCAAAATAATAAAAGCATGAAGTGTGGTTTTAACCAAATTTGTGTTAAAAGACATTGAGCCCGGCCAGGCATGGTTCCCGGTTGAGCATTGATCTAGGATCCAGGAGATGGGGGTTCGATTCCCCATCAGGGCACATGCCCGGGTTGTGGGCTCCATCCCCAGGGGGGTGGGGCTTGCAGGAGACAGCCGAGGACGACTCTCTCATCATTTATGTTTCCTTCTCTCTCTCTCCCTCTTCCTTCCTCTCTCTGAAATCAATAAAGATATATTAAAAAAAAAAAAAAAGACATTGAGAAAGGAGTGCAGTGAGATTTAAATCCTCCGAGTCCATAATGGGAAGCTCATGGGTAATATCTGCAAATGAAAATTTAAGAAATACCAGTTTAAACTTGTTATTAGAGATGGGGGGGGGACTGCAGGAGTCAATACAGAAGAAAACAGCTAAAAGGAGTTAAAAGTGTTGGATCTGAGGAGCTGGGCTTGGGCTAGGATGGGGGAGACAGAGGGCTGCTGTTTTTCCATAGCCTTTTTTTTCTGTTTGACCTTTTAGCTTTTAGGAATCTCTGAATCTATATAATTTTATCAAAGATAAAAATTTAATGGAATTTTTAACAATTCATTTTCATGACCTAAAAACAGATGTGGCATTACCTTGGCTTTCTCTTCTCCTGGTGGTGTCGAGGGGATCCCTGCTTCCTGGCCTAGTCTTGGTTGGGCCACGTGCCTGTCAGGCGCTGTGACCAGGATGGCACACCTCACCTCACCCACCCAGGCTGAATACCTAGGAGGTCGGGAAAGGACTCCCCTACCCATTTCTTTGGCTTTGACAAACTCATCTTCTTCCGGCAGCCACCTCGAAGAGGTTTTTTTCCACAAGAAGACTGGATGGCTGGGGTTGATGTAGCAGCATGACAGTCACCCTCTGGAGGAACCCTAAGGCCAGAGGACAGAGCGGGGAGGGTAGAGAAGGGAAAGAGCCCAGGGTATGGTACGGTTCTGTGAATTCAGTAGCCTGGTCCTGCACATCCCACTGGGGCCCAGCAGTGTGCTAACCACAGCTGGAGGCGGGAGAGGGACAGGGGACAGACAGGACCTGGCGTTGGCACAGGCTCTCTGCTAACGAATCCAGAGACCAGGGCCGATGCACAATGTCTGTTTTAGATCATCCAGGACCTTCTCCCCACCCAACCCCACTGGAGGCACACGGCCTAGGGAAGGCAGGTTGAGCTGCCTGGGCAAAGCCCCTCTTCCTGCTTCTGCACTTTCTAGCCCCTAGGAGCCCGGCCAGGAGTCCCACTGGGAGACAATGACTTGAGCATGTGGATGTGGTAAAATATGTATAAGATAAAATTTACCATTTAACCACTTTAAAATGGACAGTCCAATGGCATTCAGTACATTCTCGCTGTGCAACCATCAGCACCACCCATCTCCAGAACTTTTTCTCTATCCTCCCAACCCAAACTCTGTACCCATTAAACACGAACTCCCCATTGTCGCCTCCCCCGACCCCTGGCAACCGCCATTCTACTTTCATTTCTTGATAGACACTTAGGGTACTTCCACCTCTTCGCTCCTGCGAATAATGCTGCTATAGACATGCATGTACAAATATCTGTTCCAGTCCCTCTTTCACATCTTTTGAGTATTTATCCAGAATTAGCATTGCTGGTCGCATGGTAATTCTATGTTCAATATTTTGAGGAATTGCCATATTGTTTCCCATAGTGGGTGTATCATTCTACATTCCTTCCAGCAATGCACAAGGCTCTCAGTATCCCCACATCCATGCCAACATTTGTTAATTCCTTTTTTTTTTTAAATAATAGCCATCTTAATGGGTGTGAGCACAGATCCCCCCCCCCCTTTTCTAGTCTCTTATCATGGCAGTGATTAATTACAATGGAAGACTATAGGTTGAATTAGGTTGAGCTGGTCCAAGGAGCCAAGGCGCCAAGGCTTTATTGGGAGCTGCTGAGCTAGCCTGGGACTGGGGGAGGTGGAATTTACCCTCTTGCAGCCTAGTCCTAAAACAGACTTGAGTGATGGTTAACGACACCGACCTCAGAGCTCGAGCCTGGTTCAAGCCCTCACTCTGCCTCTGCCTCTATCTCTTTGTCACTCTGCTTTGCAGTGTGACCTTGAGCAAG